CACTTTGTGGTTCAGAGCTTATCCTACACCCGACTCCAGGACTCCTTTCATGGCTGTATTAAACAACTACCACTTGCCTGTCAATTTGTTGTACTGTGGTGGCTTGTGTGTGATGCTAGGAGCTATGCCACCAGTATTTGAAATACCAGCAGAGTCACCCATGGTGGATAGGTTTCAACAGAGCTTCCAAACTTGGTTCAAGGAGGAGAGGCAGAGTATTTCTGAATGTTTAGTCACTGAAAATCTTATGAGTAACAGCAGAACATTATCAGATACAGTGCCAGAAGATGAGCCCCTAACATTGGAAGGCACACAAAATGCAGCTGGGGACAGGCTGCTTCCTCAATGCAGAGTTGACTGTGATGATGCAAATGGAGTAAATCTTCTGGGATCTTCATGTGCTGGTGGGGCACAACTCAAAATTGGGAGAAACTGCTATAAACATCCATCAATAATTAGAACACATATTGTACAAAGTATGAATCAAGGAAAATTGGAAGCTGTCAAAAATAAAACTGCATAAAAATCAATATCCTAGGCATTGTTGTTAAGTATCACCAAGTCAGTTCTGACTCATAGCAATCCTGTATACAGTTTCTGAGAAATGGCTGGTGAGTTTGAACCACCAACCTCGTGGTTCAAACTGAACTTGCGGTACACAGATTAGTGAGCAAAAATGGGCTGGTACTGGCCATTTTGAATCTGACAATCATGGTTTCCTAAGCCTGAAACAATAAATTCATCATCAAAAAGAACATTTCAAGATCTATCTTGGAATACAACATTATCTGCGATAGGATAATAGCCATTATGTCTCTAAGGAAGACCAGTTAATACCATCATTATTCAAATTTATGCACCAACCACTAAAGCCAGTGATAATGAAATGGAAGAATTCTACCAACTTCTTCAGTCTGAAATTGATCAAACGTAATTAAGACTCCTGGTGAGACACAACAGGATCAACATTGGACTATGAACCAGAAGGTCAGCAGTTCAAACCCAGTAGCTACTCTTCAGAAACCCTATAAAGAAGAAACTCTGAAACTTACTATTCAGTATAGAGATGCGAAAGTGAATGTACGAAGTAAAGTAAGATAGCAAGAGCTGAACAGAGTATTTCAAAAGTCAGGTGGAGAAGTCAAATATAATGAAATGTGGAGAGTCCTAGAGTTAGAAAACCAAAAGAGAACAACATGCTCAGCATTTCTCAAGCTCAAAGAACTGAAGAAAAAACTCAAGTTTCAGTTTGCCATATTGAAGGGGTTCTATGGACACAAATATATATATCTTCCAATCAACTGGCCACACAGCTGTCTTCCAAATTTCCAGAAACTCAAGCCAGATACAGAAGAGAACATGGAATGAGGGATAACATTGCTAACATCAAGATGGAGCTTGGCTGAAAATAGAGAATATCAGAAAGCTGTTTACTGTGCTTTGTTGACTGCAAATGCTTTTGACTGTGTGGATCATGACAAACTATGGATAACATTGCAAGAGATAGGTACTCCAGAACACTTGATTGTGCTCTTAAGAAAGATATAATACACCAAGAGGCAGTTGTTAGAACTGAACAAGGGGACACTGAATTGTCATTTAAAATAAGGAAAGGTTTGTGCCAGTGTTATATTTTTTCACATTTATTCAGTCTATATGCTGAGGAAATAACTCCAGAAACTGGATTATCTATGAAAAAGAACATGGCATCAGGGATTGGAGGAAGACTCATCAACAACCTGTGATATATAGATGATACAACCTTGTTTGCTGGAAGCAAAAAGGATTTAAAATACTTACTGATGAAGATAAAAAACCACAGTACAATCAGTATGGATTGTACTTCAATGTAAAGAAAATAAAAAGCCTTAGAACTGGACCAATAAATAACATTAAAGTTTGAAATAGTCAGACTTCATTTTTCTTGGATCCACAATTAGCACTTATGGAAGCAGCAGACAAGAAATCAAATGATGCATTGCATTAGGCAAATCTGCTGTACAAGCCTTTAAAGGGTTTAATAGCAAAGACTTGAGGACTAAGGTGCACCTGACTGAAGCCATAGTATTTTCAATAGACATTGAATAAGGAAGACTGTACAATGCATGGTGTAATAGTTACGGTGTTAAAGAAGGATATTAAAAGTTCCATGGACTGTCATAAGAACTAATAACTCTGTATTGGAAGAAGTAAACCAAGATGTTCCTTAGAGAGAGAGAATATGCCAGGGTATTTTCAGTCATCTCACATGAGTGTGAAAATTGAACAATGACTAAGAAGACTGGAGAAGATCAATGCTTATTAATTATGTTATTAGTGAAAAATATACTGTGCATTGCCAGAAGAAGACACATATCTGCCTTTTGTTACGTGCTATGGAGTCGATTCTAACCCATAGCGACCCCTTGTATAGGGTTTTTGAGGAGTAGCTGGTGAGCTTGAACAGCTGACCTTGCTGCTCAAACAGCTTTGCAATCTGGTGCATTAACCTACAGTGCCACACTAGGACTCGATATCTGACTTAGAAATCAGAATAATCTTTAGAGTTGAGGATGGCGAGACTTCATCTTAATGTACATGTTATCAGAATGAACTCTACTGGTAAACTGGAGGGTCAACCAAAAAGAGGAAGACCCTCAAATGAGTTGGATCAACACAGTGGCTGCCACAGTGAGCTCAAGCATAGCCAACAATTGTGAAGATGGCACAGAATCAGGCAGTGTTTTGTTCTGTTGTACATAGGGTCATGATAAGTGGGAACCAACTCGATGGCACGTAGCAAGATACTGCTCATGATTTTCGGGATGGATACACTGTGCCCATGGTTTTGCAAAACACGTTCAATGCAAGTTAGACCAAACTGCACACAGGCGTATCCAAGAAAACAGCGATACCCAAATTGGGACCATCATGACTTGGCATCATGAGGATGTCGCAGGATTGGGCAATGTTTCATTATGCCGTACATTATTAGGTCACCATGAGTCAAAGCTGACTTGATGGCAATAATAGGATTTTATTGAATGCCTTTCTGTTGGAAGAAAATCTAGACACAAAATAAAAGGGTTCTTAATGAACAGTTTAAGAAACAAGGGCAGTATAATTTGATGTTAACAGGAAAAAATCAAATCTCTCTTCATTTTAGCATATGG